GATTGAGGACAGTATTCTGAAAAGCAGTGACTTAGGGTCACGGTGGATAATCAACTGAACGTGAGCTCCCAGTTACTCCTGGGGGAATAATGGCCACTGCACCTGCACAGAATTCATGTTCCCCACATATTTCTTTGCTTCTCCACAGAAAAATGACTTTCTGACAGGGAAGCAAATGGAAGCTGCAAGAGCAGTCATGCACCACTTCCTAGCTGTGCAGGTACATCATTTCAGGCATCTAGCAGACAGGTAAATCACCACAGGGCTGGGGACACCCCAGCCAGTGGTTCCTACCCTCAGCTGGGATCAACTGCTAGTCCCAGCTGGGCTGGAGGTAGGAGAGGATGGGATTTCCTCTTCCCCTGTAAGGAGTGGTTGGAGCTGTGTCAGACCTACCCCCAGAAACCTCTCCCAGCTGCAGGAAGTTCAGCATCCTCCTCTGCTTCATGCCCCCATCACTCCTCAGGGGAGGGGGAGCTGCTCCCCCATCTGCCCCAACCCCCATGCATCCAGACCTCCCAGACACCCCTGCCAAGTCTCACCCCATACACCCAGAACCCCCTAGCTCTCCATACCCAAACCTCACCCCATTGAACCTCAATCCCTGGTCTGGAGCCCTCTGCACCAGATCCCCTGCCTCCAAACCCTGCACCCAAACCACCCTCCATGAGCTCCCTGCACACCCTAATGAGCCCCGCCCCCTGCACTACCCTAAGCCCCCACATCCAGACCCCTACACCACTGACCCCCCAACTATCTGCACACCTGGCGCAGAGGGGCAGGGCTCCAGGGTGTTTCTGGGGCAGACCCAGGCCTTGTGCTGTGTCAGGGTCGAGTGCAGCCTCACTACTGAGTCTGTGTCCCGGGGGTGGGGAGGCTGCAGAGTGATCTCTCACCTTTGTGCAGCCAGTGGCCTGTGCTCCCCATTGCCATGCTGGAGCCTTTGCATTTATTTATTGTCAAATAAAACTTGCAGAATTTTAAAATATTGTGCACAGAGTTTTGAAATTTTTGGCGCAGAATGCCCTCAGGAATATCCCAGTGCAACGCTGTGGCTAAAAGGACTAGTGTGATCCTTGGATGTATAAATAGGGGAATATTCAGTAGAAGTAGGGAGATTAGTATTATCTCTGAATGTGGCACTGGTGCGACTATTACTAGAATACTATGACCAGTTCTGGTGTCCACAAATCAAGAAGGATGTTGACAAATTGGAGAGTCTTAAAATAAGAGCCACAAGAGTGATTAAAGGATTGGAAAAACTCCTTTGGTAACTCAGTCCATTACATGGAATAAGTATGGTTCTACAATCATGGAATCATAGAACTGGAAGAAGCCTCGAGAGGTCATCTAGTCCAGTCCCCTGCACTCATGGCAGGACTAAGTATTATCTAGACCATTCCTGACAGGTGTTTGTCCAACCTTCTCTTAAAAAATCCCCAATGATGGAGATTCCACAACCTCCCTAGGCAATTTATTCCAGTGCTTAACCACTCTGACAGTTAGGAAGTATTTTGTAATGTCCACCCTAAACCCCCCTTGCTGCAATTTAAGCCCATTGCTTCTTGTCCTATCCTCAGAGGTTAAGAACAACATTTTTTTCTCCCTCCTCCTTGTAACAACCTTTTATGTACTTGAAAACTGTTATCAGTCTTCTCTTCTCCAGACTAAACAAACCCAATTTTTTCAAACTTCCCTCAGAGGTCATGTTGTCTAGACCTTTAATCATTTTTGTTGCTCTTCTTTGGACTTTCTCCAATTTGTCCACATCTTTCCTGAAATGTGGCGCCCAGAATTGGACACAATACTCCAGTTGAGGCCTAATCAGCGCGGAGTCAAATGGAAGAATTACTTCTCCTGTCTTGCTTACAATACTCCTGCTAATACATCCCAGAATGATGTTTGCTTTTTTTGCAACAGCATTACACTGTTGACTCATATTTAGTTTGTGATCCACGGTGACCCCCAGATCCCTTTCCGCAGTACTCCTTCCTAGGCAGTCATTTCACATTTTGTATGTTCCTTCCTAAGTGGAGTATTTTGCATTTGTCCTTATTGAATTTCATTCTATTTACTTCAGACCATTTCTCCAGTTTGTCCAGATCATTTTGAATTTTAATCCCATCTTCCAAAGCACTTGCAACCCCTCCCATCTTGGTATCGTCCGCAAATTTTATAAGTGTACTCTGTATGCCATTATCTAAATCATTGATGAAGATATTGAATAGAACCGGACCCAGAACCGATCCCTGCGGGATCCCACTCGTTCTGCCCTTCCAGCATGACTGTGAACCACTGATAACTACTCTCTGGGAGTGATTTTCCAACCAGTTATGCACTCACCTTATATTAGCTTCCTCTAGGTTGAATTTCCCTAGTTTGTTTATGAGAAGGTCATGGCGAGACAGTATCAAAAGCCTTCCAAAATCAAGATCTACCACTTCCCCCCCCCATCCTTAAGGCTTGAAAGCTATTAGGTCTAAGAAAGCTATTAGGTTGGTTTGACACAATTTATTCTTGACAAATCCATGCTGACTGTTATTTATCACCTTATTATCTTCTAGGTGTTTGCAAATTGATTGCTTAATTATTTGCTCCATTATCTTTCCAGGTACAGAAGTTAAGCTGACTGGTCTGTAATTCCCCGGGTTGTCCTTAATTCCCTTTTTATAGATGGGCACTATATTTGCCCTTTTCCAGTCTTCTGGAATAACTTAGCTATCATTATATTTACTTAGCTATCGTTATATTTAGCAAGTTTTTCTTAATATGTAACCTCAATCTCCCTTGTTGCAGAGTAAGCCCATTGCTCCTTGTCCTACTTTCAGTGGATATGGAGATTTGATCACCATTCTTTTTATAACAGCCCTTTCCCTATTTGAAGACTGTTAGTAAGTTCCCCCCTCAGTTCTTGTCTCAACACTAAATGTGCCTAGTTTTTAACCTTTCCTCATAGGTTAGATTTTGTAAATCTTTTATCATTTCTGTTACTCTTCTCTGGACTCTCTCCAATTTGTCCACGTGTTTCCTAAAATGTGGCACCCAGAATTGGACACAGTTCTCCAATTGAGGCCTCCCCAGTGCCAAGTAGAGTGGAACAGTTTCCTCATATGTCTTACACATAGTACTGTTTTTAATACACCCCATAGTAATATTAGCCTTTTTTGCAGCTGCATCACATTGTTGGCTCATATTCAGTTTATGATCCACTATAACACCTAGATCCTTTTAGCAATACTACTGGACAACCAGTTAGGCTCCGTTTTGTATTTGTGCATTTGATTTTTCCTTCCTAAGTGTAACAACTTGCACTTGTCTTTACTGAATTTCATCTTGTTGATTTTTAGACCAATTCTCCAATTTGTTAAGGTCCTTTAGAATTATAATCTTGTTCTCCGAAGTTCTTGCAATGCCTCCCAGGTTGGTGTCATCCGCAAAGTTTATAAGCATACTCTTCACGCCATTATCAAAGCCATAAATGGAAATATTGAATAGTACTTGACCCAGAACCTGCAGGACCCCACTAGATATGCCCTCCCCGTTTGATAGTGACCCATTGATAACTACTCTGAGTACAATCTTTCTAACAGTTTACCCACCTTCTAGTAATTCCACCTAGACTGCATTTCGCTGGTTTTCTCAAAGATTGTCATGTTTGGACTGTGTCAGAATCTTTACTAAAATCAAGATGTATTACGTCGACTGCTCCTCCCCATCCACTAGACTAGTAATCCTGTGGGGTTTTTTAACCCTTACAGGAGATCAGATTAGATAGTCACGCTGGTGCCTTCTCACGTTAAAATGTATTCTAAGTATAGATCATATTTTCAGAGTGATTACCTTGTGGATCTGCCTCATTTCCTATAGCCATCATGTAACTTCCTTGTGCCTACCATAATAATTGCCTATATGGAGACATTTGATATTCGGAAGACATTTAATGAAGGTTGTTGCTTTGTCATTTTTGAAATAAGTTAGATGCTCTTTTTTGCTCTTCATTTGATATTCCCCTCATATCTATTGTATTCCTTTCTCTCTCCTTGCTATTACTTCTGTTCTTTAGTTTTCTTCTCCCCTGGACTGACTGTCCAAGCTATCTGGTCCTCTCCTCCCTCTATTCCACTGGATATTCTGTTTAGCTGTTTCAGTCCCTTTTCTCTCCACTCCTACTGTTGTTTGGCAGCTCCAGTCCCATTGCTGGCTCTGTTCCATGTGGCTGACTCCTGTTTCCTCTCCTCCGTAGTATCAGTTCTTTGTTAAAGCAGCTAGGGTGGCTTCTTGTTTTCAGCTACTTTTGAACACCCGTAGTAGCACCTAAAAACAAGGAGCACTAGTGCCAGCCAGCTTGCTGCAGAACACTGGCATGTGTTCTGAGGACCACAGTCTGGGAACTGCTGCAGTACATTAAGGAATGTTTTGAGCTTTATTTTTTTTAAAGAACTAAATTTAATATGCTTTAACCCAAGATATGATCTGTAGTATTTATTGCACATTAGAATCGAAGCATCAAGTCTTTCATTAAAAAGATAATGTCCAAAGGCTTAGAAAATGTGACACTAATTAGGAAGAAGCTATACATTATGATGGCAGAGTTCAAAACATCAGGTTGCCTCTCTTATAGTTTTATCTTTATGATCAGTGCACAGTAAAATGTGTGGCAGAGACAGGGTTCTGGGAATACACACAGGATTGTCTACTTTTGCCTGCTGCAGATTTTATCCACTCATCTGTCAAAAGCTGCTCCTGCAGTGTTGTCAACTTCTGCAATTTTATCACAAGTTTAATGATATTTGGTGGTTTTTATTTTGCTGGAATCATGTGATAAGATGATGACCTCAGTTATTTTTTTTTTAATTTCTAGCGCTTATTATTGCTTGAAAACATAAACCTTAAAGGCTCAAAACCCAGCAGATAATTAAGAAAATAATAAATAAAAAAGTATTGGTTTTAAGTTTCATGAATTCAAGCCACTTGTGATATTTGAACACTTGGTACTGCTCCTCCCACTTGTTTTCAAGTAGATGCCCCTCAGGTGTAAAACAGTGCCCCTCACTCTAGGAGTCTGTTTTACTAAGAATGTAAGATCCTAATCTTGTGCAAAGATTGTAACATGATTCAAACCCACAGCAATACTGTGGCAAATGCACTTGTCCATGCAGGAAGACAGGCAGGAAATCAGTTGCCACATTTCTCGAAATGTTCTTTCAGCATGCAATGTTCAGCCAGCAATTACTCTTTTTTTGTTGTTGTTAATCTTTTATACTTTGCAGGCTAGAATGGAAAACCTATTTGCTTTTGGAATCTGGCTTTTTGAAAAGTTTCATGAATGGTCTTGAGTTGCTAATGGACATATCCTGTATTCCCTCTACAAATATATTTACTACAATTAAAAAAAAAATCCGTGTTATTATCTTATTGGATTTCTAATGATTGAATGTTTTGGAAGTCATCTTTTGCTAATGGATTGAAGGTCAAATAAGTTTTACAGCTAAGGGCAAAAGGTAATTAAACCAGTGTATTAGAATATGCATTAACTAGAGATGTGGCTAAAAAAGTTAAACTTCAGATTTCAAACCTTCCCCAGAAAGTGCAGAGGTTGAGATCTGGAGGTTTGCTTCATACGCATCGCTAATGCAAACCTATAGGAAAAATATTTAATAACTTCTCTGTTAATATAGTACAGGCCTAGTTTGGGTAATCAAAAATCTGAGTTTAGTTTGGGCCTGTTTAGTTTAAACATGTTTTGTTCAAATAAGTTCATTTTTAGTTTGAATGAATAGCTCAAAAATAGGAAATCAGGAAATAAGCACTTAGCTACAGGAGATAGGGGTCCCTTCCAAAGAACCAAGTATGCCCTTTCTAAGTTACTTTATCTTTGTTCTTTCTATATTTTTGTTCATTGTCCCAGATGTCAGTTACCAATAACGGCTATTAATGTTACATTGCTTGCTCAGCAATGCAATTTCCTTTAAGCTTTCCTTTCAAGGAAGTGAAACTACTTCACTGTAATTTTTGCACTTTGAGTTGCCAAAGTGAAATGGAGCAATTCAGGCTGAAAAGAAAAAGGTAGTTCAGAAGAAAATGCTTTTATGAGGTTGTCACAGAGAGAGGATGAAAAAACTTTAAATCTGTATCAGATTCCGATGCTATTTGAGGGGAGTATATTAGGCTACTGTGATAAAGTATTGATGTTAAATTTAATTAACAAGCTACCAGTCCAGTCTTCACCTCATACACATTGTGACTATACCTGAAACGTGACTTTGGCATCACCATCTCAGTAAAAGCTGTAATTCTACTTGTTGATGAACAGTAAGTAAAATTTTAACTTTCTCAAGGGAAATTTTGTCTTTACTTTGAAGACTGATTCCTTTCAGTACTTAAACTCAGTTTTATTTAAGTACTTTGTAAATAAATTGCATTTTAATTCTTCAATTCTTTTTCTGGTATTGATAACAGAAGAGAGAAACCAAGAAATAAATGTTCATAATATAGTCCAACTGGGTTTTAGAATTAACTTTTTTTTTTTTTAAAGATAGAGTTTGTATTTGACAGCCAGAACTTGTGGAATGATGACAAATTAAAGAAATGAAAGTTGACTTGTGCTCTAACAGCACAAATGTAGATGTATAGAAAGTAGTACAAGCGACATAGCCCCAGCATTTTAATAACATATAGGGCAACCATTCAGAATCTGACATTCATATGCAGGTGAGAGAGAACTCTTTATTTGCTAACACCACTGTAATCATATGTTTAAGGCTGGGTCTTTTTGTTTTGTTTTTATTTTTTAAGAAAAAGTCAAATGTTCAATTATGACTTTGTTTTAGAAAAGCTCTCTGTGTGGGGTTTTGGAGTGTCAAAACCATTAATGGCTGGGTTTGTAAGGATAGGAAATGGTTAGAGGCTGATTTGAGGAGGGGTGCTTGTTAGTAGCAAGTTCTTTAAGTTATATTGAGGTATTATTTGTGATGTAGTTTTAAGGCAAGGGTGGCTTTAGCATCTGGATAAATGCCCTTTTTAGCATTTGTATAAATCCAAAGAGGAAAATAATGAAATAAATTTTTGTTTTTGCTTTTTTATTCCTGAAGAGTTGGAAAGGTACTTTGTAACCCATCATAGTGCTCCTATCAAAGCAGAAGAAATCTGTATAAATTTGTGGAACATCAGAAATCATTGAGATTTGTGGCCTTAACAAATAAAGCCAGGGAAGGACAATATTCCTGGTTTGGTGAGAAGATGATCAAGGAGCATTTAGGAAACATAGGGGATGTGGTTTTAATTATTTTTGTTATAGTAAAGTGGCAATCATAATTCAAAGGAAGCTCATCTTTACTTGATAAAAATAGATCTCTACTATCCTAAGCACTGGTTAGTGGCTTTTCATACTTGATGATTTTTAAAATATGTTGATTGTTTTTATTTAAATAGTAACACAGATTTATTATTAAATTTTAAAAATACAAAAACTGTTCAAGTATTTTTCACTGTTCTGATTGGCTAGTTATGATCCTTAGCTGTTTCTCAGACCCATATGGTTTAGAAAAGGCGGTTTGTCTTGTGAGCTTGATTACTGCTCCCAAAATAGCTAACAATGAGTTCTTTGGTACTTCAGTATCCTCATCTGGTAAGAACTAGCTCTTTAAAAAGATATACTCAAATGATCTAAGATTTTTAATTAATTAACTGTGCAGAATGTGGTTACTTTTTCATTAAGTGGGCTGGAAGCTTTCCAAATCCTAGAATGGGATTCTGTTGTGAGTTTTTCAAAGATGCCGTGAAGGATGAAATATAGTTTTATAGCTTAACAAATGCCCCTTTGAACAAATATCCTTTATATGTGCTGGCAACTGTGTATCTGAACATATATACACATGGCTAGTAGGAAACTTTCTCTTCCAAATGCAGAACTTTGCCCATGGGCATCTGCAGAATATGCTTTCATCTTATTTAAAAAAAAAAAATCCAGTCCTGTGTTTGCAAAGAAAACATTCCATATGTGAAATGAATGTAAACAGATGAAGGGTTTCCTTTCAGACAGCCTAAAACTACTGGGCGGGTGCAGCCAGAAGCCAATTCGTGTCCCAGCAAAATCTGTGTTGTTGTGTTCACACGTGTTCATTCGCTTTATCTAGGCCTTTATGTTCATCCATTTTGGTTGAGTTTCACTTAGTTTTTTGTGTTCATTCAAACCCAAAACAAACTCAGTGAATGCAAACCTACACAAATCATACCAAGAGCCACAGGAAGTCTGTGAACCGAAACTGCAGTTTTCACACATTGATGATTAATTCCATTACTTTTGAAGGAATATGGTATGCCAACTGTAAAATAAATGGATATGGGCAGGAAAATGTTGTTTAACATGCTGTCAGTAATGTGCCTGTAATGATCTAGTGATTGTACTCTGTTTTTTTTTTTCCAGTGGCCACGGATATCTTCAATTCCAAAAACTTGGCCGTTCAGGCCCAGAAGAAGATCCTTGGCAAAATGGTATCCAAATCAATAGCAACTACCTTGATAGATGACACCAGCAGTGATGTTTTAGATGAGCTCTACAGAGTGACAAGGGAATACACTCAAAACAAGAAAGAAGCAGAAAAAATCATTAAAAATCTCATCAAAACAGTCATCAAATTGGCAATTCTCTACAGGAATAACCAGTTTAATCAGGAAGAAATAGCACTGATGGAGAAGTTTAAGAAGAAGGTTCATCAGCTGGCTAAAACCGTGGTCAGTTTTCATCAGGTGGATTATACCTTTGACAGGATTTTTTTGTCCAAATTGTTGAATGATTGTAGAGAGATACTTCATCAAATCATCCAACGCCACCTAACTGCAAAATCACATGGACGTGTCAACAACGTGTTTGATCATTTCTCTGATTGTGAATTTTTGGCTGCCTTATACAATCCCTTCGGACCTTATAAGCCCCACTTGCAGAAACTCTGTGATGGTGTCAACAAAATGCTAGATGAGGGAAACATATAAGTACTCGCATTACGGTTGACTGCTCGTGTATAATTTGTAGAAGGAACACTGCTGATTTATGAAGGAATAAGGGACCATACAAAAGTAGTTTTTATAATATAACAGATGCTTCAGAAAAATCTTTACCAAACTGAGTATTATGAGCCATCTATTGCTATTCCCAGTCAACCTGGAACAAAGACTTCGAACAATACTGCTTTAGTGTGCTTTGCCTAAGGAAACGGCTAGATAAAGGTTGTGAAACAGAGCTGCTCAAGTAGAGGAAGACTCTTGTGAAGTATATGATAAAATGAAATTATATGTAGTCAAACAATCCAACGATGTAATTTTACATTTAGAGTAATATTTATAAATCATCAAAAGGCTATTTTTTTTTGTATCAGACTAGCATGGTGATGGTACATTCTGTAATTTCTTTAACTCACATGTTAAAAAGAGAGAATATATATTTGATGCATTTATATTCACATGTGCTCTATGTAGATGTGTAGATAACCGCTTCCTTGAGCTGCCTTTATGAACAGTTCAGTTTTACAGTTGTCATATCCCTGATACTTTTGTGCAGCATTTGAACTGCATTGTTAATCTGCAGTCCAGTAATGAAAATCAGTTGTTTGAAAACCTACCCAGTGACCCTTGCAGATCAACTCTGATGCCTGTTAAGTTTGATTATTTCAGAAACAGTAAACTACAATAATTCAGCCTGGCTTGGAAAATGCATTCTACAGACTGAATAGTGTGTTGTAGAAGAAAGCACCTGTGATCTATAATTCTGTTTCAGAATTTTAAAACTCCATGTGCAATTAAAAGATAAAATGCAGTGAGTGAGCTAAGAACGCTCATTAATTAACATGCGAGTCCTACTACTATATCCATCCTCTTCTGAAAACGTAAGGGTTGATGTATTTCTGCACATTAAGATAACGCATATGGTAATGTGAATTTAGATAACATAAGCATCTGAAGGCTAAATAAATTCCACAGCAGTTTGCTTTGTATATAGCGAGCTTATGTTGTTGGGTTACATATAGTAACAACTGTTTAACAAATAGAGAGAAGGCATTTACAATACCACAGATTAAATCAAAAAATGTTATCTAGTTCTTTTCACTGGTACAAAAAATATGTGACTCCCAAACACTGTAACGTGCTAAAACATTTCAAACACCTGAGGAATTTTTGTGCAGAAGCTTATAAAGAACTTTGCAATGTATTTAATTGCCAAGTTTTTTTGCTGTTTGATATGTCTTCTATTTTATGAGTAAACCAAAGAATGTTTGCACTCCACACTTTGCATGTTTTTTCTGTTTACCTATTAAATTAGAAAAAGTAAACTTGTGAAGCGGAATGCAATCTCTTGATATGTGCCTCACCATTACAATTTAATTATTTCCTTTCTAAAATGGAAGGATAGTTCAGTCTTCATGCTCATTCACTCACTGGACTCATAGTATGCCAAGAAGGGTGCCCAATGTGACTTTGTGACAGGGATGCATAGGTAAGAATACCAAATTATTTTATACAGGCCACCAACATCCAGCAGATGGTGAAGGGTTAAGGTCAGTACCAGCTTGGGCCAATTAGAAATGGATAAGTTAATAATTCTCAGTTTCAAAGGGCTGGAGAACTACTTTGTCATCAGATAGTGTCTCAGAGAGCCAAAAAATAGCCATCTTCATATTGCATTTTGTCCATAATCAGTGACTTATTGGTGTCATGAGGATACCCTGATTATTTTGTGACTTTGCAGCTTCATCTTTTTTCATTTCTCCACATCAAACTGCTTGGGTGGGAAGAGAAGGATATTCTTTCCCTCCACTTTCTCTCTAACTGATGAGAGAGGGAAGGTTCCTGAGGGCTGGCTAGAAATATGGTTCAATATCACAGACTGAGTCCATATTGCACTACTAATCCACTGAGTCATCCACTCTTCCTGTATAAAACAGCATCAGTGAGTGAGATTAGAGATTAATGGAGATATCCTATCTCCTAGAACTGGAAGGGACCTTGAAAGGTCATCGAGTCCAGCCCCCTGCCTTCACTAGCAGGACCGAGTACTGATTTTGCCCCAGATCCCTAAGTGGCCCCCTCAAGGATTGAACTCTCAACCCTGGGTTTAGCAGGCCAATGCTCAAACCAGTGAGCTATTCCTCCCCCAAGAGTGAATTTGAACTCTTTTTGAAGGGAAGATGTGATATAGCACTGTTTAGAACCAAGCCTATAGTCTCTACATTTGCTGCATAAGCGTCCACATCTGCGCTTCAGTCAAGACCTGAAACATTTTGGCTAGTCAAATTCTAGGTTTCCCCTGATCATGAATTGGCAATTGTGCTTAAAAATGTAGTATTACATTGTGGGCAAATGTCCACGATCTAGGCAACTATAATGTAGTCAAAATTTATTAACCAGATTTCCGGAGGTGAAGTCCAGTAACCCATTAAATCATCCAGCCATATACTTGCATCTTAAAATAGGTTAAACTGATTATAAAACTGATTACTAGAAGCTTGCCAGATATCAGAAATCCCCTCTAGTCTGTAACTTTGACACATTCTTCTAGAGCACAGTAAGAATAACTGTCACCCAGCATTCTTGTTTGACTACAAAGAAGTCAATTTTATGACCGTGATGGAAGACACTTGGATTATATATTTTCAAAGATATAGTTTTATAGGTAAAGTGAAATGGTAGTTAAAGTGAGCTATATAATTCTACAGTGTCATTTTTCACTCTATAAAATCTAATTCAGTGCCTTTTAATCATCATAAGTTTAAAATTAAATTGGCTTTTAATTCCTCTGCCATGTCAAGAGAATGTCTTTTGCCTGTGAATTGTTTTATTCATAGCCATTAAACATAATAAAAATATCAATTTATAATATATTAAATATTGAAGTGTTATCTCAAATTAGCATTCTGTACCTATCTCAGTTTGAAAATTAAAGTACACCTCTACCCCGATATAACGCGACCCGATATAACATGAATTTGGCTATAACGCGATAAAGCAGTGCTCCGAGGGGGCAGGGCTGCACACTCCAGTGGATCAAAGCAACTTCAATATAACGCGGTTTCACCTGTAACGCAGTAAGATTTTTTTTTGGCTCCCGAGGACAGGGTTATATCAAGGTAGAAATGTAAGTTGAAGCAGTATAGTTGTCCTAAATTACTGATAAAATATTATGTTCATTATTTACTGAGGATGCACTGAACCTGATACATTATGATTTTAATAGGAGAAACATAAAACAAATTGTTGGTACGTTAAAATTCAGCTTCTCAGTTAACAAAATTGGTGGATTTTACTGTGGAATTAAAAAAACAAACCCTCAGTATTTTATGTGAGAGACTAGGTGAGATAGTATCTTTTATTGGACCGACTGTTGGTAGAAAGGACAAGCTTTCAGGCTACACTGAGCTCCTTCAGGTCTGGAGAAGGTAATCAGAGTGCCCAGCTAAATACAAGGTGGAACAGATTAAGCATAAGGGGCTCATATGTGCTGTAGGAGACCACTTGAAATTAAGTGGGCAACCAAGTGTTAGGCAGCAGGGTGTGTTACAAATTTTGTAATGAGCCATAAAACCGGTGTCTCTGTTAAGTCCATGGTATTTTATGTTTGTTTTGTACACTTGAGTGCTCAATCATCTGGATGCATAATGTATTTACTATTGTTTGGTTGATTGACCATAGCACTTGGTGTCATCAAAACTCATGTAACCTGTGATGTGCTATATTGGCTTTTGGAGAAGTTGACAAGTGATAAATGAGGCCTTGTATATAATGTAATGAAATATTCATCAAACATTATTCATCTTAGTTGCACAAAGAAGGTACAGACAGGTGGTGCAGTTTCTGCTTGTATTGGATCAGCTTGTATCCTACTCTTCAATATTGATTTGATGATCTTAGCTATCCCCATCGTGTGTGTCTGTGTGTAGATATATAGTCACAGAGAAAACAAAATCAAATAATCAGCAAGCATTTTTACCCCATCATTGCCTTCTTTAACCAACTTAAACTCCCTTCAGATTGTCCTACACTTAAAAGGTATAAAGATTGATGACAACCCTGTTGTTTCCTCTGGCTGCTATCACCTCTATCAGCAGACAACCAAATCAGGTCTTCTGCAGGGAGTATTTCATCCCTCTTCTAAAACTAAGATGACAGGGAAATATGGGAATGAGCAGATCCCCATTTGCCTCCCTTACCTGACTCCAATAAAAATCCTTCAGAGTTTAATCACAAACCTGAGGAAAAAATAAAATAAACATTTTTGGCTCCACTCAGCCCTCAATTGTCTTCCAGCATTTTGCTGAAACCAGTTTACATAACATTGCTATCAAAAGATATACTGGAATTCCACATGGAATTACTAGGGTGATTTCTATATGACAGTAGCTAAACTGCCTGAATGGTATAGGAACCAATTATATCAGAGCCACATTGATAAACCTGTGTAAGAGAGAAAATAGCCATTTTGAGTTATGGAGAGAGTAACAGAATTAGCAGGAACACATTACTGTCTTCACTCACTGAAAAGGAAAAAGCCTCAAATATCTATTTCCTGTTTGTGTCTATGTAATTGGAAATCAGATGGGATGATCTACCTCTTGATACAGCTGCTAATAGTTTTATATATAATCTATATCCACATATCAGTATATTTGGCATCTACTATGAACTTAATCTGTATATCTGCAATCCTTTTACAAAGAACATGCAATACCTGTATAAATTTTCATAGGAACATTTTGACAGGTCAGCCAACTTTCACAGTTAAGAGGAAAACATTTGTTTGTTGGATAAAATGGTCTTAACTATGAAAAGGATTACACTATTTTAACCACAAAGTTTCCATGTGATCTCATTTGCATCCTTTACAAATAGACACAACTCCTTTTTGTTCCCTTGTGGGAGGGGAGAAATACATTTCTATAATAAAAAATTATATATACTATAGCCATTACCTAGAGAGTTCATTGTGGCTACAGAACAGTTGATATGTACAATTGCTTGAGGAAAAATTGTCTGTATTGCATTGCTTTAAGAATCTCCTCTTTTCCCTAATGTACTAAGCTATAATAGAATATAATTTATTACATCTAATGTATGTGCACAACAGAAGAAATTCTATTGCAGCCTCAACATAAATATCCAGAGTAACCAAAACATCATACAAATCACTCATGTGGTTTATTTTCCTCCTAAGTACAATATAGGAATAGTATCTCCTTATAAACCATATGATAATAGTAGGAGCTAAATCCATTACTATATCAATATGTTCATACCACAAGGCAAAATTTCCTAATATCTAATGACCACAAAGTGCAAGGTGATCTCTCCACTCTTAGTACTTCAAGTTTTAATAATCAGAGCTGCTGCTTTCTGTTTTTAAAACCAATATTTATATTGGTAGAACGTTCAGAATCAAGGTCAGCTGTTTTATGTGTATATGATGCTACTATACTGATTATTTTTCATATTGTGCATTCAGATTTACCTCACTTGCAAGTATGAAATTGATAAGTCATGTGGAACAAAATGGTGATAGATGTCTGAAGCAAAATTATAACTTAATACAGGTTTCCAAATAAACATCTATTCGCTAAGAAGAAAACCTTAAGGAATTAATTCAGAGGTGGCTCTCTGGGCACAAACATTTTTGGGAGAAAGTTCAGATCATTTTGTCTTTTAAGGGGGTACTTGAGAGTGGAAGGAGCAGATATCATGGAGGTTGGAGGGAAAAGGCATGGGTGGCTAGGAGGTTAAGGTGGGACTCTGAAATTAAGAGGGGGAAGAGAGATTAGAATGAGTGTAGATGGCATGAATGGAAAAAGTATGGGATAGAACTTGGAAAAGAGAAGGAGTCCAAAGGGAGGAGGACATGAAACAATGAGGACAGGATACAGTGTGGATATGGGGGTTACAAAGGAGGGAATACAGAAATGTGGGGAAAGAGTGAACTGTGGAGAGCTTAAAACTAGCTAGGGCTGGCCCAGTCTACCATATCATATCTTGGGTATTTTCCTTCACTCAGCAGACTTTGCTTAGGTGAATAAGTTTCTTGGTGTGCATAATTCTAGAGGCTTTGAATTAACAACTTCTGAGGAGAGGAATTATATCAGTCTGTCACCACTCAGAAGATCTGATCTCTGCTGGTAGCTCTTCAGAACATCCATCTCAGTGGTTCTTATACTTTGATGGTAGTAGCCTTTGTGGAACATTTTGAATTGGCAATCTAATGCCTCATTTGTCATGTGATTACTCTGGCCAGGCACAGGGCT